AAGAATTGTGTTGTTTTGAGCACTATTTCAATTATAAGAAAGCATTTACAAATTAAACCCAATTTAACTAAAACTTCTGAGATTTTTGGAGCAAAGCATCCTTTACAGGATGCGCAAACTTCAAATTGCTACCTGTTCTGAGCTAAAAGTTGGGAATTTTTCAATAAATCAGTGCAGTTGATAGGAAACTTCGATGGTTAGACCAAAGTTCACAGGGTCCGCAAAAGTTAGCATAGGATGTGCTAGACTCAAGTTGTTAGCTTCTCTAAACCAAAATTTGCGAATTTTTTCAAAACATCTCACTGATGAGTGGAGTTTAATTTTCGACCAGCATTTACATAGTGGGCAAAGATCAAGTTACAGTGCGATTTTAATGAAACTTCCAAGATTTTTAGAGTCAACTATCCTCCATAGGGTGGGCGAGTTTCAAGTTCCTACCTGCTCCAGGTTGGGAGATGCGATTTTTTTTAGAAACAAAAATGTACGGTTGTCTAAAAACGTTCCATTTTCAGAGTAATGATTAGCTAATGGATCTGGTAAAAATCAATAAAACGTCCAGGCGTAAATATCCACTTGAAAAACATTCAGATCACATTAGCCATTGACGAACACAATGTCTATTAATAATTGATGGCGATTGTGCGAAATTCCTACGTGGGTTTCGACTAGTCGAGTTGTTTACATGGGAAACACATTATTTTCATATTGATCTAAAAATAAAAGCCACAACAAACTGCCCATGCTAAAGTCAGGCTGAGCATCAATGGACCCGAACAATATCAAAGGCCTTGACCAATTCCAAAAGGTCTTTTTGTGTGCGAGCGGAATGTAAAGACCGGTGACGCCTTAATTGCCGTGGAAAATCGAACGTTTATTTTCTTAAGTTATGAATGAAAACTCAGAATATCCGGCCGGGAAAAACGTGGGAGTTGGAAAAATCCTGTTASTCGGTGCCGGCTAAAGTACAAAGAGCGTCTTACGTTTTAATTGTGGMTMTGGTAGAGGTCAGTCGGGATTTTCTGGACTTTGTGGCTGTCAGCACCACAGTGAACTGCATCAGGCTCCAGGACCTACGAAAAAACCARATGGGATTTCATATTTTTGCATGTTTTTGCYCCAAATAAGCTTCCAATCCAAATAAGTTACTYTTGGTAAAATAGCGGCAAATTCAAATTTTTTTGGAAAAATCCAACCTCAGTTTCAATTGGAATTACTATTCATTTTTTATGAGGGTTTTGTATGGACAACAGGSCTGCATAAGCAGGTAACTGGYACCTACCAAATGGCCAAAGTTAACAGTACCAAAATGGGTTCGCCAGCGATTTTATCGTCTTTGAACGAGTCGAAAAACTCGATAATGTCAGCCGCTGTTCCTGGAATAGATCAAAGCCTTGAATTAATTTTAGCGAAATTGTGGAAAATGCAGCAAAAACCTTTATAAATTGTCTCCAACAACAGGATATAATGCGGAAATTTGGATAAATGGAGACCTCCTAAAAGCTCCTTGCTCCAAATGACTCACATTTCCCAACAGTTTCGTATGAGTAATCATGAGCATGAGTTGTTTATCTATGAGCAATCATTTCCGTCCCTTTTTTTCGAAATTTTGCACATTTTCTGGCGCTTTCCCACGTTTTTTTTTGACGTAAATCGTATAAATAGTTGGGACTGGGAAAGTGAACTGGCTGAGAGCCATTTGGGTTGCGAATGCCCCGATATGACTTTGGATCTGAGCTCAATTTAATCAAAGCAGTGAACACCTACCGATGTAAACCAGCAGGAGTTGGCTCAATTGATCCCTGGTGAGGTCGCCTTTAGGCAACATCCATCTTCCAATGATCAGAATCAACATCAGAAATTGCTCGATCAAAGTTATCCAGGTTTCGGTGCTCAGAGAAATGTCTGGCAATTTAATACCAACCTGAAATTGGGCAGGAAGTGA